TAAGTTAATTGCTAATCAGTATTCCAATCATAAACTAAATACAAGGAAATAGGTTCAATAATTATTAATTGGTATTTCCTAAAAGCGTAGGTAGGTACCTAATGGCTGTAAGAAAATGTAATTTTAAAATTAACGTATAACATATTTTAAGAGGATGCTACCCGCTACACACGTACATATATGGAAGTTGTCTCCGTCTTACAAACGTACAACCTTTTGCAAATTGGCGTTCAATAGAACAGATTTGACTAAATAATAATACCTTCAACATTAGAGTGAATTGACATATTATAACAATATCAAAATTAAAGGTAAGCACATTATCTGTTATCTATTGTCGGTTTTCTTCGCTATTTTAATTTTTAAATCGAGTTATGACAAATTTTATATTTAAGTACCTATTTAACATAGATTCTCATCACTATTATACCTATACTGTATAGGTTATAACTAATAGGTATATTAAATTAGTAAGTACCTATAGGTATATGTATACATGAGATTAAATGTGAATACGTATTGTAAAAAACGCAGTTTTACTACAAAATAATTTCCAACATTTCGTGATTTAGACGAATTTTGTTTAACTTCGAACGCTTATAAAAAAAAACAATTGTTTCAGTGCATTTTTGATAATTTTAAATTGCTATAAGAAAAATGTATGAGAGATATTCTATAAAACTATAAAAGTGTCAAGTTTTCGACAGCATAACATTTTTGTCAATACTAAAAAAGTTCTGTAATATTTCCAAATGCCCATAAATAGGTTAAAATAGATATTTTGAATTTGAGTATTCAATTTTGTCAAAATCTGAACTTTAAAAGATCTTAAAAAAATACTCTACAGTTTTTTTTTAAATTGCAGTATGAAAAACTTTTGAGCAATTCTATATTTAATTTTCAAGCTTAGATAAAACATATTTCTCAACATGGTTTATGTATGGTTTTTTCAAATGTCTATGTAGCTAAAAAAAAATATCTGAATATTATTGTTTTGAAAATTATGTTATGTCTATATAAAATGTTAGTATAAATAATTATTGGTGAACATGATATTTTCATGTATCTACGGTTATTCATTCTTGAAAATAAAAATATTTTTTTTTAAAAGCTGGTATTGGGTAAATATTCACATTTTATCGATTAAATATATAGAAAAATAGAGGTACCTACCTTACAATTTTACTTTCGACACTTACCCCCATAAACTTCCCCGCTGCCGTAAGTATTAAACCGTGACATAACACTTTGATAATGTGTCATGGGGTGGTAAATCAAATATTACATATAAAAATCAATTAAAATTTGGGATTGTAGTAAATTTCATAACTATTTAAGAGCATATTTGCATATTATATTGTTACCTCAATATTATACTACAGATAAATTAAATAACTATCCTGATCGAAAATCTACGTTCAATTAATGCGTTTTGCTGCACTGACAAAGTTACAACAGTTATAGATAATATAAATTCATATTTCTATAGGTATGTATATAATATATAATAATATAATATAGTAAATTAATTAATTTAAATTTCGAATTTTGTTTTTCAGCAACACGATAAGTTATATATTTCGTTATTAGCAGATTTATTCTGATCGTATTTATTAAATACATAATTTTATCGAAAAACTTATCAAGACCCAATATTTACAATCAACCTATTTGTTACTTGTTATTCTTATTTTTGAAAGGACATTTATACATTTACCAATATTTATTGAATTATTACAAAATAATATGAAATAATTGTTGTATTTAGGTATTGTAAATAAATAAATATATAATTCAACAACTTAAAGTATTTTCGGTGGATAAACCAACGTTAATAATTAGGAATATCAAAATGGATATGTCTAAACATTCAAAAAGCATTATTTTACCTTACGCATAGTCGATAAATTCGTCATTTTTCATTATTAGAGAGAACAACGATATTAATAAACCAATCCTGAGAGAAATGAACCAGTAACAATGAGAAATACTTCAGTTTCAGCAAAAGTGTTTGATAAGATCGACATAAAGAAAATCGCTGCCATAATGAAAAAACTTCTTTGATACAATATATACTATATAAAGAGAAGCCATTGACCTATTTAAATGGGTTTCGATAAATATCATGCAATAGTAATAATAATAATAATAATAATAATGATAATAAGACGTGTAGCACTGTTACAATTTTTTTTAATACAAATCATTGTGATTTCTAGCTATATAAGAACGGGCAATTTTGCTGGACACGAAAGCATAAAAAGCACGGACATTCTTTTTTAATTTTGTTAGAATATACACAGAGAGAGGGAGACGTGAGTATAGATAGGTATAATAACACAAGTGCACAACTATATTAGTGTACGTGATAAAGGGGGAAGAAAAACATAAATTATGGTTATACGTGTCTAAGAAGCCTCTCGTTAATAACACTTGGTTTGGGATTAATGGGTAATGTAAAAAGAAAATTAAATCAAACGGCGCACATTATTCTTATGAGTCTGTGGCGAAAATTTCAAGGAAGTGAATGGGTATGTAAGCCATTTATGAGTGGCCTGTTGTAGTGGTCTTCTAGTTTAGAAAAATCTTGAAAAAATAGGTTTATAAAATAGTGCAGGTCCTTTTTCAATTACCTAATTAAATCTAAGGCCTTTGTGAATTGTGAAGCGACAGGATTGCCAAGTGTGCGGTATTTTGTGAAAACTTGAATTTTAGTTAGAGTTAAATTTTTTAGTTTAGACCATATAGTTGTATTCCGTGACCTGTATCCTTTACAACATATATGTTATGCACTTATGCATCTAAACAGCCCACAACACAAATTACTACCAACTATATCGATGACAAAGGCATCTTATTAATCTCTCTCGTGCATTAAAGTGGCTCTATCGATTAATGGAAAATAACTAAAAGTGACCTCAACATGTCAAAAAACCTATATAATATTATTATAGCTGTTGAATATGAGGTTAGTGATCTAATTGCGGTATGATTAAAAGAAAGATACCTTATTGATACTCTGTCGAGAGCCTGCAAAGAGATGCATCTATACAAGCCCGGATTAAGACCTTTAAGGGCCAATACATGGTTGTGGGCCCCCATCAATAAAAAGATTGCCATGTGTCCCCACTTACCATGCCCGTGGTGGTCAGCATGGCAGGTGGGTATGGGCCACAACGTCGCTTAGTTCAAACAAGAAAAAAACTCTTGTAGGCACTATAAAAAGTACAAATTACCACTCAATGTAATTTTAAGCCGAGAAGACTATGGGCCCCCCCTTGTCCCCTCCCTTAATCCGGGATTGCATCTATAATGGCAGGTGAATAAATTCCAGTTTTTTTTTCGTATGTCGTGGTGATATCAATAACTCTGCAAAAAAAGATGGACATTGGTCGGTGAAGCTCGATTGTTAATTTTTACCTATTCCGGTATCTATTCGAAACCACCGAACGTTTGGACACACTCTTCCTGTGTGTAAGATCGGGAAGAGTTTGGAAAAAAAAAATCAAGCATAATGACATTATTATTGATACTTACATATTTTAGACGATATTACTTACTAATTATTATCACACGCAACGGCCGCGGCGACGATCATAGAAAAATAAAATAAAACAAAAATATGCACGTCAAGATGCGTCTCATAGCGAAACGATAAACCCCATTCGCTTCCCAATTCCCCTCCGCACACTGTATCCTAGTTAAAGAGACGTCGTTTTTTATTTATTTTTAGTGTGCATTTATTGGTATAGCCGTATGAGTACTGTATTTAGATGTTTACTGGAATTACCCGCCCAGGCCCGGCTCAAGAGGAGTAGGTGACATAAACCCACGCCTAGGGTGGAATTTTAGTAGGGCGCGGCATTTTAAAAACAGTGATAATATTATTATTTTAGGGGCTGCACACTTTGAATTTACTTAGTGCACTAGTTTCGCTCGAGCAGTCCCTGGACCCTCGCATTGGGAACTGCTAATTCACTCATGGGACCCGTAACTAGTATAATATTCTAATGACTTTTAGAATACTATATAACCTATAATGGCATAACGAAAAGAAAATATTTTTACAAATATTGAAATATAAATATACCTATATAATATAGTATTAGAATTTAGAATATTATACCTAACATTAAAATTTGTAAAATGAATAAGTAAAATAAGTGAGTCGACGTTATCTCATTTTCTCCTATGACCCTTCGCCAATTTTGAATTATCAGACGTGTTACGACATCAGAAACAGATAGTGACCAAACGTAATACGATTTTTTGCCCCAAAAGTGTTGTAGGTACCTATCCATCCTTGTAGGTTTGGACGTAAAACCAAATTGAGATGGTGGAGATCAGTTACTTAGACTTGATCTTAGGATAAACTCGACCGATTGTCGAAAATAAACCGTAAAGCTTGACATGACGTCGGGATAAATATTGCAACGCTTGTGGAACTTGTATCAAGAAAATTAATTATTAGCTATAAATATAAATATGTTTTTATATTAAATTATTATTTATTTAATATGTATTTGCCTTTATCGCTCCATCCCATTTTTGTCCAAGGACACAATTAGTTATACTTATTAGCAATATTAAGCACTATTCTATAATACACAGTTAAACGTTAACTAATGTAGAGAGTTCTTAATTAACATTGGCGACATTAGTTACAATTTTTTTGTTTTTTGTTAAACAATTTATGCTGCGTCTAGGGTGTTGGGTATTTTGAGGTTGTAGGGTTCATCTGTTTATTGGAGGTATTCTGTGATTACCTATGTGATTGTCGATTGACCAGTTCCAGTTTTACAAGAATTGTACATTGGTCTTTCTTCTTTTACCATGAGGTATATCCATGTGTTAGATGGGTGTGGCCGATACGGAGTATGTCGATATTATTACCTTATCCCTTTTATTCAGTGGTAGGTTAGACCAGTCGTAGTATTTTTGATTTCTCTTCATATTTAGTGTTTTGTTTGAGTCAGTGTACCTGCAATTTGATTTGATTTTTAAATCTGCACAAGTTGTTTTATCAAGTTTTGGGGTTCTGAGGATTTTACTGCTTTCTTGGCTTCTTGTTTTGCCTTCTCCCTCTCTTCAATGTTGCTGTGTCCAGAAATCCAGATTAGAGATATATTGATTCTTCTACTTTTTGATCGACTTATTTTATGTTTTATTAGCTTTGCTATGTCTGACGTGTCAGTTGTATTATTTAGATTTTGGGGTGTGCTCAATGAATCTGAGAGAACTATATTGTTTTTTATAAATATTTCCATGATCGAGTATGTGTTCCACTGACTAGATGCGTGCCATTTTATATGTGCTTACCTACATCTGTCTATCGCCATTATGTAATTTTTATGAACATAGTTATTACAGTTGTTGTTTATCTTAGATAGCTGTACGATTTGCACTATACTCTGTTCCACGAGAGATCCTGCCGCGCTCCGACCAAAACTGGTCCCCCTAGGTCACACCCTGTCATAGGGGAACCAGTTTCGACAGCAGGGTGACGTAGGGGGATGCGCAGAACTGGCATGATCTCTCGTGGAACAGAGTATAGTGCACATTTAAGTTGTCTTTCGTAGTTAAATTTTTTTTTTTTATTTTTAAATGTAATCTACAATCTATACCACATGGCACAATAAGTAGATGTAAATGAGATTTAACATAAACAAATAATTTTAAAAAAATACATCATATTTTAAGGGTAGTTAAATTAACATTTAAAACTTGAGTGTTTTGTAGCTCTTAAAAACACGTCATGTTCATATTAAAAAAGTGGACGAACGCATTACCTAGGATACTAAGACGATCAGTCGTATACAGAAAATTGTTTTATAGGTATTAAACGCTTCAGTGTTTTACAAACTCTTACATAATTATACATTTTTTACTCTAAAATACGCCGAAACTAAACATGAAACCTTATAATTCGAAAACAATAGCACCAAGTATGTATTTTACGAGTTTCTAAAATGTAACTAATAGCAAAATTGATTAGAAAGTATTGATTAGAAGATTAGTATTAGTATTAATAGGTACCTAATACATTATTATTGTGTATAGTCTGGATAGTATTGGAAATACTTTTAAATGTTGAAAAGAAATTAGGCTGTAGCTTATAATTTATTTTTTTTTTTTGGTTAGACATGTCGCATATAAATCATAATAATTTCCATATTAAAGTTGCATTGTTAAAAAAAAAATAATTTTATTAGAACGTTTTTTCTTATAATGGAGTTTTAAATTATGATTATGGTTATTTGGAGTTTTTAGTGGAAGGAGACAATTTGGTGGATACTGGGAACCTCCTTCCATCAAGTCAACATGTCACAAATTTATAATTAAATCACTTTTACTTATTGTATTTACAATAATATATACAGATTGTAAATATGTATATTGTTTATATGATATAAATAATATACCTAAATAAACTAGCTGAGTTACTTGTCGTTGCCGGGCTTAACTATTGTTTAAGTATAAAAATGTATGTAATCTGGCAAGATTAAATATTGTTTATTCTATTTAAATACAATTTAATTATGATTGTTGAAATAATATTTTATACATATTAGTTATTAAGACAATTTTATTATTATCATAACCTATATTCTATTAGTTATAGCTATTTAGATCGCGTATCTTCTTTACGATAAGTTTTAGCAGTGAAGGTTTAAAATAAATGTTTTACTAATAGTTATTCAAAATATTATCTACAAAACTTCTTTGTGGACAATATTCTTCGCTGATTTATTAGTACCTTCTACCTAGGAGTCAAAATCACCAAGCTACTGGGTGAGCTTCCGCGTGAGCAAGCTACGTAGAACTGCCCACGTGAAAACCAGTTTTCTCGCAAGTCTATTCCCTCAAATAAAAGAGTCTGGCCTTGAAATTTGTTTATAGTCATTGCAAAGCAGACTCTGAGGGGAAACTGTAATCGTTTAAATTCGAATGGAAGATCGTTTGGAATTAAAGGAATTAGTGGTACAAATGCAGTTGCCCCATTCGCACATCCAGTTAAAATTGTGACTTCCACTATATATTGCGATATAGCACTATAAGGCTTTGACTTTAAGCCTGGTCCCGTTCCACAGTTTAGGTGGTTTCAAATTTCGCAACAGCATAATAGGTGTGCCCACGGACTAAGATATAATGGACTGGAAACGAGTAGCTTATCAGTGGCCTCAAAAGTATGTACAAGAGGCAAATGCTGGGAGTCGCAATAATAATTGAGAGTTTACATCTGAGAGCGCCATCTGTATAAAGCACGTACTGAGATACAACATTTGACGCTAAAGATTTATCGACCGACGATGCATTAAAGGCATCGGCGTAAATAGGGGGGATTAGGGGGGCTTAGCCCCTCGTACTTATTTTTATCCCCCTATGAGGTTTTACTTTTTAGCCCCACCTTAGGCTTGTATTTCGAACCCAAATCGTTACGAAAAGAAAATAATAAATTATTACAGTGTAGGTATAATATGTACCAACTACCAAGTACAAATGTATAGTAATTTGTCATAGTTTTCGAGGAAGTAATGTGTTTATATGCTTGAGGATGGTTTAAGGTGTATAGCTTATCTATACTTATTGCATATTAGCTTCAAGCTTACCAATATAACACCCCTATTATATATTATATAATATTAATATATTATTTTATTACCTTTAAATAGGTGCCCGTGGCAGTATAAATTGGTGTACCTATTCTTATAATATTATAGTCACCTATATTAGTATGTTGTATTATGTTGTATTATGTTGTATCTCAAATTCGTCCAACAGTGGTTGAATACTATTATATTATAATCATTTTATCTTCCAATTCTCAGTTCTCAATTTACTGTGGGTCTGTGGCACTCTCTGTACTGACTGCAAAGTAAGTAGGTACTATTACAGCCGTTATTTTTATTTTTGATTACGTATACGGTATACGTAAATGGTAAACACGTTAGATTTTATTGTATAGGAGTTAAGCAATGTGAAAACAGTTCGGCTCCCATGTATATAGTGATTCAACTTGGAAAAAAAAAGAAGAAGATTTTATTGTATACAATTATCAAAATGTTCAGTATATTCAAATTAAAAAAAATCAAGTAGAGCTAAGAACGAAGATGGCCCAAAAAAATCATGGTTTATATTAAATTTTGGTTTTAGCGGACTTTTTGTAACAACTAAATTTCAGTGAATCTTATAAGGGGGGTGGGGGGGCTTTGCCCCCACGTGTTATTTTACACTTTGGTTTTGTAGGACTCTAGCCCCTGTAATTATTCAATCCTAGTTACGGCCATTAATTTAAAGGACCTGCTAACGTGCGTAATTTTTATTCGTTTAGATCAATAAGTGAAAGTAAATTAAGCATACTTTTTGTGGTCCGTCACCTTTTCTAAGTCCTAGAATTGTAGACAAATCACATTTTTAATTGAAAGTGTTTCCTAACAAACATAGTCCAGTCAACAACGAATACATCCATTAAAATCGGACTTCAGGAAGCATCCCTAATTTACTTAATTAATTCTAATTTTAAACATCCTTTCTTGGTGAACGTCTACGACGTCATGAAACAAAACTACTGACCGAATTTCATAGTTATAGCTACAGCGGTTTCGGCTAGGAGGTTTTTTCTATTTTTACACTTTTAAACCCCTTTCAACCCCCTTTATGGGTAACATTTCACAAAATAAAGTTTATAGACAATATTTATTTGTGGTATAGAGTATGTATACTTAATTAAAAAAAAAATCAGATCAAAAATAACGTTTTTAATTTTTACCCCTTTTACCCTTTTTAACCCTCCTAGGGGTTGAATTTCCAAAAATACTTTTTAAGCAGACGCCTACATCACAATAGCTATCTGTATGTAAAATTTCAGTCTGATCCGTCCAATGGTTTGAGCTGTGCGTTGATAGCTCAGTCAGTCAGCTTACTGTTTTATATAAGTATAGATACAGATAATAAAAGAATGGAAATTGGAGTGTATATCTTTTTAATACAGTAAAATTAAAACAGTTTCTACGGAGTCGCTGGTTTACAATGGTTATAATATTCAATTATATTATATAGTGTGGATTTCCAAAATTATTTTTTTACAGTCGAACAAAAAGCTGATTGTTTTAATAAATAATAATAATAATATTGTATGTGTATTATTTCTAGCTTTTGGTCCAAACCCAGTCAATATGTTATGTCCAAGGTGCAGTAATTATATAATTACCCGAATCGAAAAATCGCCGGCAACTCAAGCATATGTATTTTGCGTGCTAATGTTTATTGTAGGGTATGTATATAATAATAATAATAGGTTTATTAAATATACAATATTATGACTTTATTCGTTTGTTCTAATGTCAGTTATATACCTACTATAGTGATATAGATTTTTTGTATACCACCGTTTGGTGTATTATTATTTATTACCAATATTATTATATATTACATAAAGTAATAAAATATATATTATTTTATAACTATTCAATTATCCTGTTTGTAAAAAAATTTTTTTTATTATAATTTATAGTTTAAAATTAATATTGTGTCACCATTTATGGAACAAGTGGGTGGGCGGGTGTACTACTATGTTTCCATAGTAATATGTGAGTTGACCGACTTTTTGAGTGCTCTTTATGTTTTTTTTCAGTTTTGTGGCTCTAATATTTTGAATAATGATGCTTTGTACACTTGTAATATGTTTTGACTATTGCTATTGATAACTTTGTAAGTAGGTTGTTGGTTGAAGTTTTTTCGTTATTAAATATTATGATTTTAGTGCTTGTACTCAAGTTTAATTTGATTATAATATTAACATTACCTACGTGTGTGTGTAAAGATTGAATTATTTTAAAATATTTGGACTGTGTAAAGTGACTGACAGTTTGAGTTTGTTATTTTATTTGTTTTATAATCAATAAATCATATTTAATTATTTACAGCCAATTTAAAAAAATATTATTGTAAGTTATACGAAATTTCCCTTAATTTTAAACAAAAAGGTAGACAGAACAATATTACAAAATAAATTTATTTTTCGTTTAAGGACTTTCAGATTTTAGAATTTGTTATTGTTCATACGTCTTTACTTATTACATATTTATAATAATATAAAGTATTTATTCAGTGTTAGTAATATCAAATATTTTGTGCTCGTATATTTCTAATAATTTTCGAGGATTTATAATATTGAGATTTTTTTATAAGATAGGTTTGGGACAATTGATTTTATATTTAAATGAATAAACATTTATTTGATAGGTCCCTACACCAGAAATCAATTTTAATTTGTTATACCATGTTTTAATGTGTTTGGAAAAAATTATAAGCCAATTAACATGAAGCTAATTAACAATAAGTTATTATAATATAATCGCGTGTTAGAGTGATAAACTTTTATTTTATGTATTGAGTCATATTATAAATACATCAAACCGAAATCAACCCAAAAGAAAAATAAACAATATACTTTAACCTATGGTATTAATAATAACTTATAAGTGCGATTGCCCTGTTTGGTAATTATAGAAAGAATAAAGGCTGTGAGAAAGTTTGCCACGACACTCTATATTTTTACTTTCCACTTTTTATATATTTTGATTTTACTTTGTGAAAATATTTATAAGTTGATGTTAAATAACAATTTTACTTAGTAAGCTATTAGGTTAAGCTAAGACATATTTAATCATAATTACATATAATATTCCCAGGTACCTACATCTATTGTAATGATCTGTAACTTGTGAGGTGCCATTAAAAAATGTATACCACAAACAAAATAGTTGTGTACTTTCACCTCATACATATTTGCAAATTCTATCATTCAATTTTGTTTCTATATTATTGATTGACTACCCATTTAAATACAACCCATTGATTTATAATATTCAGTCATTAAATTAATATGAGGTTCAACTAAAAAAACGAGTAAATAAGTGAGTTTATATTAGGGAAAGGGTGACTCTGCAGTGTTGGTCTTATTGAAGATAAAATAGATACAAAGTTAAAATAAATGTAGGTAATAATATACATACAGTACAGTTAATTAATTGGAAAGTCAGTAGATCTAATTCGATATATTTTAAAATCAGTTGAATTTTGAATGAATGAAAGCAACTTTTATTTTCGAAAATACAGCATAATATTATATTATATAAAATTGTATTGATTCCACACTTTTATAATTAATGCTATGTTATATTTTTATTTGTTTTTATAATATTATTGTTCAAACCATTAACTGCGAAAGTAAATTTTATAGGACCATGATTTTTGTAACATGTCATTGGGAATAGCTCACACATTTTTTAATTGTAATTCTAATTTCGGAACAAAGATCACCATGGGTCTATAAAATTGACTTCTGCATAGAAGTTCACTGTTGACAATAATATGGAACAATATAATAAAATAAAACATACAATTTCAACGAGTACTTATTTTTCTTTATTACCTATTGGATTAGAATTAGTTATCAAAGTGTAGGAACCATACAATTTCACAATTTTTGAAAATATGCTTTCATTTATCAGAATTCAACCGATTTCAATAAATTGTTTTTTTCTCTATATTTTTAAATGAATAACTCTAAAAAATGGCTATTTCAGATTTTTTTCAGAGCAAGGTAAAAGGGAGGTAATATTCATAATATTATTAATATATAATATTAACAAATTCGTGAGAATCGTGAGTAAACTTAAATTCTTTTTCTTATTTCTTATCCATTTGGCTAGGGCACCCAATATATAAAAATATCTAAGAGGCTTGGGCGATCATCGGGTAGCCAGATGGGTAGACCGATATTGGTGGTACCCAATGGTGGTCTTTTGGTCCTTCTGGATCTATCCCTTTTATACTCACATAGTTATATACATAAATAATTCTGTAATAATTTAACATTCATCAAATAGTGAAGTTTTGTTATACTAATATCTTACCACTATACTTATACATTTTTGATTTACCTATATTTAACCATAGGTATACTTACTAAAAAAATATTTTTTCTAACATTCTAATTTTATATTTCAGGTTACTATTATGTTCATGTATACCGTTGTGTATGAAATCATGTAAAGAAGTTGAGCACATATGTCCTCAGTGTGGGTATCACTTAGGAACGTATATACCATAAAAATGACAATACATGTAAAATATTGCTTACAAATCAACAAATTATGCTTAAAAATATACAGCTATTTGAAACGTATTGGCAATTTTATGACTCTATTAGAGGTTTCAAGTGTATATAACTATTCAGATGTATGGTAAAAAGTTGCTTTTGGAATTTTAAAATTGAATTAGAGATGTTTAAAATTCAAAAAATATTAACTACCTATAGTTAGTTATATAAATCATAATATAATTAACAACATAAAAGTATAAGACAGTTAATTATACTATTAATTGTATTGATGATTTATCCAATTCTTATACATTTAATATTGATAATTTATATATTATTTTATTTTCAATAAAAAAGATTACACTTGTTAAAATGATATATTTTGGAAAAAATCTAATGAATAGGTACATTAGTAGGTAAGTAATAAGTAATAAGTAACTGAATTTCTTAAAGATTATATATAGAGACATACTACAGTAGGTAGGTTTATAAAAATTGTATTAATAATGTTTGTAACTACTATAGAAGTTCAAAATTCATAGTTTCAAAAAATGTTTATTTCACTGACGTTTTCTAGTCACCGAATTATCAATTCCAGGTGATCCTTTAAACCTTTAAAGGGTCCTAAACGAATTCGATGCTATGTTAATTTAATAAAAATTTAACTTTCCACTAGATATTCGAAGTTTCGTCGACAGATGGCCTCTTCAACAAATCACCAATCAAGTAGGTATCTCCAACGCACTTCACTTACATTTTTGTGAATTTAATATACATTTTGTGATTTATAATGAGAAGTGTTCCAAAAAAATTAAAATATTTCACAGTATAATTTTTAACTAGTTGCTTATATTAATTTGGCAAAAACGAAGTGTTAAGGGAAATATAAGCCTACTGTAACACACTCAAATTGATTTTTTCATGTAAAAAGAAACTTTTCATAATTATTTATAATTACAAACAAATTTAAGTTCGAATAAAAGTTTTACCTATATAGTCATATCCAAAAATTTGCTATAACTCGTTGGAGTTGAATCTGGTTTGGTTAATGCTGTAGTATTTTGGTTTTTAAGATTTATTTTCGTCACAACGCGTTTCTGAAACATTATCGAAAACAGTATTTATTATAATATCATACTGAACAACTTATATTTTATGTACTTAAGTATCTTAGTATTATAATATCTACTATATAAAAATATGAACTCGACAATATTTTTGTTAAAAAAAAACCCCATTAGTTTATCTTTTATTAGTCATCATGATATTATAACTTGTATTATATTTTGAAACCATTGAATAAGGGTCGATGACATTTACTATAGTGGTATACTTATTCTTGACTTCTTAAGTTTCATTATCTATTTGTTTTTATGAGAATTGTCACGTAAGATTAGTAGCTTATGAAGTACCCTACAAAATCAAATTGCTTCTACTGGATGATTTTGATCGGAGCGTCATTATAAAATTACAACTCCTTGATATTTTTGTTAAAAGAAAAACCATACTCTTTATATACAAATTCATCAAAATAATACATAGGTAAAGGCTTCTGTTCATAAATAATAAGTTTACACTTTATTTTGTTGGTTAAAGAAGATTATTCAATAAAAATAGTTCATTCTTGAATATAAATTATCTCTTGTGATCAAAAGTTTAATAGGTAGTGAAAAGTAGAACTACTTGTCTAGGTATTTTAACTCCACAGATATTCGCTGTGTTTATGTTGCAAAAAAGAAAAACAAGAAATTTAAATCTTAAATCACTTTACAATTTGTTTTTATATAATGAATTAAAAATGATTACCAGTTCGTAATATTTATTTTTAAATTCGTTTAAGTCTTTCTTTGTTCTCTCCAAGTCAAACATGCACTCTTTTGTTGTCTGCTGACTGATAATTAATTCTCCGGATAAGCTCTAAATACATTTGTTTAATGTAAAAAATAATTAAACCATAATTGAACCGCATCACTTAAACCGACTTTACCCTCATTTTGTCGTCTTTTTTTAATAGAGTTCTTTTGATATCGTTCATCTCTTTGAAGATATCTCTGCCTGGTAGCTTAATGAATTCATCTTTCAGTTTTTCATACCTAGTCTGCATCTCTTGGACTTGCAAATCCTTGTCGAATACTCTGGTGCATTGTTCGAGTAACCGTTTTTGAAGGATTTTCACTTTGGCAGCCATCTCGTAAGCCGGCGGATCAGTGTTCTGGACGATAACAGTATATATTAATGTTTATTGTCATAAATGCAATTATTTAACACCATTACGGCATGGCGTGGTGCCACGGGGATCTCGGTAAACTATTTGTGACAGATGACAATTATTTTGAACTGCTGCGAACATTATACATTTTCGTGTGGGCGAGCAGCACGGGCGTTTTGAAATAATGTTTTGTCACCCTAGTCACAACAGGTTATGACGAGTGCAGTTGTAATCGGTGTAGGTATAATGTTTTAGCCATATTGCATTGTGTTATATTGGTAACATAATGATATTGTCACAAATGGATTTACAATAAATTGATTATATGAAATAAACATTGATTATAAATTTACATCTAGTTTTATTCAACTGCCGTCCATCGAGAAAACACGAGCTTGTGTAAAAATCAAAATTCATCGATTCTCACCATATTATGATAGTTTATATGCGGTCGTCTATCATTCAACGATCGATTTTCAAAGTGTGAGAAAAAATCATAGTACTGCTCAAATTATCTGGGTAAATGTATCAAACAGAACAGTGTCAAATTATCTGATCCTCAAAAAATAATGGTGGTGGAGATTCGTTTTTTTTTTTAATAAAACTATTAGGGAACGGAGAACTCCCCTCTCCGAGCTTTACATTATAATTAACCTCTTATAAACACTTTTTTGTACTTGACGCTTTTTTTAAATTCTGGGAGGAGAGATGGATGTATTGATTTTATAAAGATCTATTTTTTTATGTCTGTACTCTATATTATTATGTCTGAATTTTATATATGAAACATTGTCAAAAAAATTATGCTTGATATGAAATATGTTCATATTTTGGGGTGGTTTCTGGTAGCTAATTGAATCTAATTGGTGCATTTAAGAGGTTAAAAACTAAAATTGAAAATTCCCAGTAATTTTTCAAAGCTACGGGAAAACAAAAATTAAATGTTATACAGCCGCCTTTGCTCAAAATTGTTTTTAAAGTTATTTAATATCATTGAATTAAAATATAAAAAACACCACTGTAGGCACATAATAGTATATTATTACTTTTAATATTCTCCAACGGTGTACGTTTGTAGGTTTGATTAACATGTCTTCTAGAGCCCGACATTTCAAACGTTCTCTGTTTAGTTTTTGCTCATATTTAAGTACTTCGCCTCTTATATCATTTATTTCGGATAAGTTTTTCATCAATAAGGTTTTTTGAACGCTAAAAGTCAATACAACAAGGAGTTTAGATACTAATTTAGAGTATAAACATTGATTTTTACATATTATCAATGAATAATAAATAATAATAATATACCTATAGGTATTATAGGAATGTGATAAATTAATTTAACTTGTTATCAATTAAAATTTTACGTAATACTTATTTTGCTGTTTATCAATACATTTTCCAATATGGTTTTCTGGTTTGAGTAGGCTTTAAAGACGAGAATATAAACATTTTACAACAAAATCAAAACAATACATACTAAGAATAATTTAAAATAAAAAAACCTTAGAGGGTTCAACAAAACAAAATAACCAATTTCTGAGTGCACGGCAAGTAAGGAAGGGTTCTATACAAAAAAATGCAATATTTTTTGTAATAAAAATTCATTAAATTTAAAAACAACATATTTATTAGTTTCTACCCATAAACAAGAGCATATAGACTCTATACCATAGAGCTTATATTTACCACTAAAATATACAAAAAAATCTAACCTCTTTCAACCAAATGCCTATACTGTGTATAAAAAGAAAGGTTCATTCTGGTTTAATTAATGAGAAAAATATGGTGATAAATTGTTGTTTTTAGATTTATAGTATAGTAATATTATAAACATAAATGTATTTACATTAATACCATTTCGCATTCTGTATTTATATCATTTTTATTATTAATTTGATCTATTTTATATTTTATTTAAATAATGTCTTATCTTCTATGCCTATTTGTCATACTATACTATATTATGTCCGTTTACTAAACATGTAATCTTAAACTGTTTACTTATTGCATTGTATAATTCAATTTATCATTTTGTCAAAAAGTAACTGTCTTCTTTATTATATAATATTATATCCTATCATGTGTGTATATTAAATAAGAGTTTTCTAAGAAACAAAAAAATCACTATACATATATTTATGCATACAAAAATTATTTTTATACAAATTATAGATTATATAGTTTAGAATATTACGAGATAAACCGTAAACAAAAGAGTCAGTTCACTCATAATTAAACAGCTACCTACATATACGCAATACGGTACGAACCAGTACGCACATAGGTAACGACAATTCGCGCATTCAACACTGGTTGGAGATGGAAAGGCGGTGAAATTTAGGACGGATAGGGAGGGTAAAGCTGCTAGTTTAAAAGTGAATATAGGCGGAAAACCCCTAAATATGCCACTGCATACAGTAATTATTCAATATTTAATAAAATAACAGTTCTATAAATTTCATAATATCTACTATGTACAGTGCATATTATAGTGTAATACTGTAATACTTTATAAAATACATTTGTTTAAATATAATATTTGCTTATTAATATGACTAACTTGTTATGCATTCTAGAATCGAAACACTAAGTGGATAATATTACGTATTCAGATACCTCTAATATAACAATTATAAGAATTTTGTTTAAAGTTTCAATAATTTCTATTTTTATGATGTAATAAATTTATTTTATTGCCGATATGTCTAAGAATGTGAAAAAATCCTTTTAAAATCTTTAAAAAAAAACTTTGGCGTGCTAAAAATTGATGTATTATTATTCAGAATAGACGATTATATTTTATTCGACGAAAACGATTATGAGCGGAGTTGCGTTTGTAATAGTGGTCACGATTTCGATAAAAATGTACGTTTTTTTATCGATGTTTTGTAGTTATTTTTTAATGCGCTTTATAAAACTGCTGGAAATCTTTGTTAAATTTTCAATTGATTGATGATGTTACACAAACCGATGTCAGAAACATGAAACACATTATAAAAAAAAATTATATTAACTGCTCCACCGAAACATAATAATATTATAATCTAAAAGTGCGAGAAGGAAATATCCCGCAGTGATTGGGAACCGCGTTAGGCACTCAAGAAAGATGTTAATCCCAAATTAAGCAACTGAATTTATTCATAATTTATAATAGGTCTCTAATAAAGTAATTTTCTTTGATTATAAAAGAGCCCAATCGGTGAAATTCTGAAATTGGTAGTTTTAATATTTTCGATTTACCTATAATAATCTAATAAATAAAATAAATAGTTTTTTTTAACGAGTTCATACATTTTCTGAAGCAATGAATTCAAAAATGTATTTTTCAAAAAAAAAATATGAAAAAACATAAAACAGAATTATATAATTATATTATAACCGATTGGTCTATTACTGATTAGAATCTAAGACAATAGTTTTAAAAAAAGGAACAGTTTATTTAATTAATCGATGTTATTTTAACTGTTTAGTACATTTTTTTTTCAATATTCAGTACTTTTCAACTGTGATTATTATTGAAATTGTAATGATTTTTATTATCTAACTGAGGACATTTTTTTAAAAAAGTAAGGTAGTTATTTTTTTAAAAAAAATGATTTTTTTTTTATCAAAATAATATGTCATCAATCAATGCTTTGTTACTAAGTAGGAAATAAGGTGTGGTAAAAAGAAATTCAACTATTCAAGTAAATAATAAAAATAAAACTAAAAGTTTAAAAACAACCAAACAGTTATTGATTTTCAGGTTAGGTAATTCGTTTTGTTAAAAGAAAAGTAATATTTTTATTACTATTTTTTTTTATCAGCAGGTGCTGTCCCATTGGTTGGGAAGTATTATTAGTATAGGTAGTATGAAAATATGAAATGTACGAATGTAGTATCAATAAAATGTTTTATTTTTAATTACTGATGTGATAAAATTTATTTTTTTTTGTTTCAACTTTTATTTAGAATACCATATTTGTTTTATGTTGATAATTTGTACATTATAATATATAGTAATATATTATATATGTCCAATAATTAATTTATTACTTATCCATTCTTAATTTTATATCATATCACTTATAGACAGTTCAAGTTTCATGTATTCGTACGTATAGATAATAAGTTTGGCCTTTATAGTAATAAACAAATCAAATACCACATACTAGAGAACCTTTAAATATTATAATATAAAATAATATAATACAAAATAATATAATATATATTATTTATTATCTAGGCGCTCTACTTCATACCTACCAGAAATATAAGAGAATTTCTACAACTCATAGACATATATAATTGTATTGTTCAGTCCCTAAAATTGTGAATACTATACGACACACTATGTGTAGTACGAAAAGTGCAGTGTGCAGTACGAAATTTAAAAGTGTGTTATTCTGATTAAACCTTTATGGCTTTGTAGTAATATTATTTATAATTTTATACCTTCACATGTTTTTTTATATTTCAATTTTCAATGGTTTTTTGCAAACCACATTTTAATAATTATTATCTAGATTCTACACAGACGACAAACACACAGTAAACAATATTTTCTGTTGCTACGTCTTATACTCTTATTATAGTTATTATTATAAACTATTCATTGTTATTGAGAGTACCTAGCTATTTTTATTATTATGAGCTTAGTAGTGAACGGTGGTATATAGTTTACTTTAGTGTTTTAAGTGTTTATCTAAAAATAGGGAATTTAGATTTGACCGATTTGGGACTATGTGTGTAGTACGAAAATTTGGATATTTCAGGGACTGGTATTGTTTATATATGTATATGCTATAACCAGAAATACTATATCAATTGAAAATCATCAACATCGATAGGAAGAGGATCGTACAACTTTAATTTAAGTTAAGTATGTATACATTGTAAAAAATAGAATACAAATATGTAAATAAGACTTTAAAACTATTGCAATAGATGCCGGTTTTGGTAATTTAAATCAAAAATAATAAAAAAAAAAATCATAAATAATTGTTATCAATCAAATAATTATAATACTTCAATTTTATACGGTAGCGGTGACAGGTGTTAATGTATTTTGATGATTTATGTTTTTTTTTAACATAAAATGTTTTTGGGCTGGGTACATTAATTTTATTTTTCTAACCGATTTTTTCCAATAATTTGTTTATCACCATAGAAACGAATACAATTTAAATTTTAACTAATTCCCACTATAAGTATACTAATTATTATATTATACAATAAATTAATGGTCACTTATTAATAGGTATGTTATATATTAATTATAATTTATACATTGTTCACGATGTGGAAAATGTCGAGTAGCGTGCTACGTGTATATCACACAATCGCAACTTTATATAGAACGACGATTAATGTACAAATTAACATTTTTAAACTAATTCAAAATGATAATAATATGATAATAAACATAACTTTTTTTCAAATAATCACCATTCACAAATCACAATACATTCAAGTTTTCTGTTAATATATGCTAAAATGCTAAATATTTGTGCTAACCGTGCCAACATCCATAATATTGTCACACAGTATTTTTTTTTATACATTTTTTAATGAAACTTTTGCATGTACCTATGCAATTAAATAACCGTATAATTTAATTTTGACACTAAACAGTTATAAAGCTTGGCGCTAATTCACGGCATTGATGTGTTATGATTAAATACATATTTAATCGGATAAAATACAATTACCTCAAACTCTTTACTTCTGATTTCAGCAATCTAATATCGTCAATCCTTTTATTATATTCCACTTCTCCCTTGCCTAATGTTGTTCTTAATATGTCATTAGCATCTTTTTGTCTTAATAGCTCCTCGTTGCGTTTATTCATTTGATTTATGAGTTTGTTTTTGTCTTTGTTTCCCTGTGTAAAATGTAAACTTTAACAACGTGAAAATGTATTATCAAAGTTAATGCATCGAAAACAATGTGCTTATTTATAATTTCAATGAGTTTCTGTCATTCGAGCCAAATAAAAAAAAAACTCATTTCACCCACTTCATCATTCTGTTTCTGAAGTTTTTCTATTTTTTTCTGCAATAATTTCAATGTCATTATCATCGACTTTTCGTCTTCATTTTTCTTCTTTAATAAATTTGACATTCCTTCCACTCGGCTCTCGTATTCGTCGATTTCTTGTTGACATTTCTGAAGTTCCTTTTCGGTTTGTTTTAATACTGTGAGACAAGTTATAGAGGATCTATAGTGAATACAGTTTAGTGTACTCACAAGCCAACTTAGATTTACCTGTATCGTTTTTCGTTAATTGCACTTCTTTGTACGCGACGTATTCCTTTTGTTGTTCGAGTTGCTGTGAAATCATTTTTATTTTACCTTTTATGTCTTCTGTTTCATCCTGAAGACAAATTAAACTAATAATGAATTAATGCGACCCTTAAAAAAGTATTATGGCGATACAAACCTTAGCTTCAGTAAGATTTTTTGAAAACAGATTTCTTTCAGTTTTTATAGTGTGTAAGTCGTGATCTTGCTCTTTAAACTTATCACTCCATTTGTTTACTTCTTTTTTTAGTTCTTGTACTTCCACTTCTTTGTGATTTAATGTAACCGAATCTTCATGTATTTTGTGTTTTAAATTTATTATTTCCTGGTGTAACCTGAATTACATGCACATGGAAGTATTTTATAAAATCTACAATATTATAATAACAAATATAAATTATAATGTACTTTTCCTTATTTTTTTTCATTATAATTATATCTAAATTTAATTTATCAATATATTTCTGTGCGCTGCTAAATTCTAGTTCCAAAACCCGAAATGCTGATTCTTTTATATTCATTTTTTCGATATATGTAGTTATTTGTTCTAAAAAAGAAAAATCGTTACAGCAAAATAGTACATTTTTATCGAATAATTATTTACCATTAACTTTAGTCATGTTTTTTTCTAGTAACTTCTTTTCTCTTTCTGTTAGTTCCAAATTTTTTTTAAGTTTAATATTATCTTCTTGCAATGCTTTTAAGTTTCGTTCCAAAGTAGCTACGTTGTTTTCAGAATTTTTTTTTCCCTCAGAAATTTTTTCAACCTCCTCCACAACTTCTTGTCGTTTTCTGACAGATGTTTCATGAGTAGCAATCAAACGTGTCAGTTCGGATTGAACTCTTAATAATTCATTTTCTTGATACTAATGATGAAAACCATAACAAAGTGTAAATTATACAGTTAAAGAAAAATATTGTACGTGATTTATTGGATTAATGACAATATTAGCATACATTTATTTTATCTTGAAGTCTATTTATTTCTTTAACGCTTTCAGCCCTCAGTTCAGTTTTAATTTTTAATTCTCTAGTTAATTTCTTTATTTGTTTATCATACGACGTATTTTTTGTGTTTAAATTGTTATTTGTAATCTAAAAACAAAAATTATATATTATAATGTATATTTTTTAATTAAAACAGCTTTTTATTTTATATTACTTTTAGGTCTTTTAATGTTTCGTTAAGTTTTTCTATGTTGGATTCAGCCTTTTTGAAATTATTCTTAATGGTACCTAGTTCGATTTTTATTTTTTCCATTTGATCGTGGTCAGTTTTTATACGGTCCTCTAATTTTTCCTTTGTTTTTATTTCTTTAACTAGATTGTTACTTTGAGCCTTAAACATAATATGGGAAATAATTAATGGCGAACCAATTAATGTGGATATATACTGTTTACGGTCACTTACAGCTAAATCGGCTTCGAGATCTCTGACATTATACTCGGCACCGTCCAGCTCTTTTTTCAACGACTCACAGAGATTATTTAGACGCTTGTTTTCTATATCTATTCTAGTCAGTTCCCGCTTTGTTCTTGTCAACTCTAATTGGCTCGTATCACCTTGACCCATAGAAGAAAACCTGCCCAAATTCATAATAGAATTATGCGAAAGAAAAAAAAATGTAGAACCAAACTTACAAGCTTTCCTCTTCCATTTGTTTAGTTTTCGAATCCAGTTCGGTTTTTAAGGTTTTTATTTGTGCTAATAAATTGTCGTTGGATTCTTGAATTATTTGTTCTCGAAGGTTAGAAGCGTCCAACATACGATGTGCAGAGTTTAATTCCTACAAAAGTATAAAATGTTTAATGATTATAAATTAATTACGTAATTATTTGTGTATTGCAAAAAACATTTAAACCTCTTTGAGTTTTTCCACTGTGTTTTGCTCTGATAAAATAGATTGTTTGATTTCTGGCATCAATTGCCTGTAATTGTCCATCACGCTCGTTAACGATTTTTTTTCCTCTATGCATTTTACAGATTCCTCGCCGAGTTTTTGAACAGCCGCCCACAGATGAGCGAGCGCTTCTGTGAGAGGCGGATCCGTAGCAAAATCAAGAGCCTAAAATAAAATAATCAGTGAATAATAAATAATACAATTTTAGATAATGAGTGACACGATGAATGTATAATATTGGTTTTATAATTATGTGTGTTTTTTTTATTAATTTTTAATTTTTTAATTTTAAATTAAAATTTTTTTTTGTGTCTGTGTACACGACAAGTAGTCTAAATAATACTTCGATTTTCAACTTCAGTATCTTGCTCGAAAATATTGTTGGTGCACAAGGCTCCTAATAGTATATTGTTACAATATCATTTGAAAAATATTAAAAATCCAGTCACAATTTTTTTTTATGAGCATTTAAAGTTCAAATATTGACAAAATACATAAAAATGATGAAAATGTGCAAATTATTTTGAGTTAGAAATTTCTAAAAAATTTTATTTTTAAATATAAAATTTGAAAATGTAATGCAAGATTCCTCATAAATTTGTCTACCTTCATCAAAAAAAAAAAAAAAAAAATGTCTAGAAGAAAGTTAAATTACATTTTTATGAGTGGTTGAAGTTCATATTTTTACAACATTGATTATTCACTCGATTTATCATGTAAGCGATTTTCTTATTTTGTTGTAATTCAATAACCAATAATAACTGTAAAAACATGTAAATATCAATGAATATATTTTCAATTTCAATACACCATAACATTTTGAAACATTTTTGATTCATTTTGAGCTGTCAGAGGACCATTTCAAATTTCAAATTTTTTAGTATTTTTTTCTACAAATATTAAACAAAGTTTATTTGTTCGCCAAAAAGTATGTGAATACAAGGCTCCTTATATATTGTTACAATAGCAGTTGAAAAATATTAAAAATACATAGGCACAATTTTTTTTAATAAGTATTTAAAGTTTGAATTTTGACAAAATGTATCAAATTTGAAATTTAATAATTATTTTGTAGTTGAAAATTTATAAAATGTTCAACTTAAATAGCTTATGATTGAAAATTTAAAACAAGATTCCAAGTAAATAATTTATATATAAATTACTTTTTTTAAAATTATATCATCAAATAGGTATACTTAGTAATATCATAGGCTGGCTGACCGTCTTCGATCAGAATCGTTTTTTTATACAATGATATTATATTATTCATTTCAAATTTAACACCATCCATTACAATGACCCATTTTTAATCTACTGTACATCAGAGCAATACCCACTTGCCAAATCTTTTTAAGGTTTAATTTAAAAAAAAACAATTTTAATTTATGTGATTATATATTATATACTCACATGTTTGTATTCCGATTCGGGTTTATTAGTGCTGTTGATTTCCATTGTACAAGTCTTACGAATGAGCTACGATATCAGCGTAAAGAACTCATTCCAAGTCTCACAAGACATTTCGAAGTAGTCAAGGTTACGTGCTATGTTGGCTTGATCGAATATTTAATAAAGTTTTGAATATCATTTTCTACCTCAGCTTTTATGGCATTCAACTGTACCTACTGCAAAACATTGTGTTGTAGCTTTTTAAGCATCGACACTTTTGTAGGTATCTAATGAACATTTTTTTTAAATGTAAACCCTGGATTTGGAAGCATTAAAGAAAATCATATAAAGACAACCTATTGAATTCGTATATATTGCAATAATGCGAATAATATTGAAGGAGTCCAATGACAATGAACAGTATATTTTATTTTCAAGAAAAATATTTTTTATTACTGCAATTTGAAAATACAACGAATAAACATTATTGAAAACACCACATGAAAACGTTGTTTGTTTAGCAAATGCGTTATCTCCAGTTAAAATGCAAGTATTAGATATTATTTACTCTAAAAGCTCTAAAGGAAAATGTAAAAGCTCAAATTACCAAGTACAAAACTATGTCTGATATGATTGAGTAAATTATATAATACAATATTGATACAAATTGCACTTTAAACTTTATATTAGAGCTGTTATTACTTAAAATAAAATAAATATATATATATATAATATAAATACTATATGGGCACGTAAACCGATTCAGTTATCTACTTTTAAATGTTATTAGCTATAAATATATAATATTATAAATTATATTTAAGGGTTAAATTTCATAAAATGTCTAAGATATTTTCGAAAGCTCTTGAAACTTAAGTGTAATTGTAGATGTTATAACTTACATTTCCACTTCCGCTAAAAGCAACTTTTCCGTATTTCCTAATATCCTTTTCAGCTAAGACTGATAACACTTAACTTATCTTAATATTCTATTTTTAAAATGAAAATAAACATATTCTGTTTTAAATTATTTATTTTGCACGTATTTTTAAGTTGAGTTTATTAAGAATTATAATATGGCGAGGGTAGGAAAAACGATATTTATTAAGAACTAAGATTGACTGTGAGTGGATATCAATAACGATATCTTTCGAAAATTTAATTTTCTTTTCATAAATACCTATTTATTTAATAAGATTATTGTATTTAAAAGTTGTCAAATAAAACAATAAAACCCTTTTCAACATTATATAATATATTATTATGGTACACATAATTAATGTTGTCATGAGAAAACAACTTAAGAGGACGCTACCCATGCATTTGTTGTCTCCGTCTCACTCACGCACGAGTGCACGACATAACAAATTTAAATTCGCTAGTTTAAATAGTGTGTTGTTATTTTCAATATTATAGTGAAATGACCTATTATCATACTTTTAGGTAAGAATATAATCTGTGGTTTAGCTTTGGCGATTTTTCAATATTTTCATTTTCAAGTAAGATATGTGTATGTGAAATATCAAAAATTTTAAATGCTCATATCTCGCTTGAAAATTAAAATATCGAATAAAAGCCAACTCTTAAGCACAGATAATGTTATTATATAAACATGTTATAATAGGTCAATTCACTTTAGTATCAAAACTAACAGCATACTATTAAAACTAGTGAACGACAATTTGCTGTTTAAGACGGAGACAACAAATGTATGGGTAGCGTGCTCTTAACGCAATAGCCAAAAGGATAT